AACGCTGATTGGACGATCGTTTGGTGAACGGCTCCAGATTTTCTTTAACGGAGAGTCTCCAGACTGATCTGCGAGTGAAACCTTGAAAGCTCGCGAGATCAGGATGGTCTCACGAGGCTAATTAAGTTGTTAATCTATACAGACCCTTTCAATAGCTTACAATATCATTAGAAAGTTTTTTTTTTCAATAACTCAATCAGTAAGAAACATTTTATAGATTAGATGTACACATTCTGATGGTTCGACGCCTTTTTCTGATTACAGTATTACGTTAGACCCATGAAACACTTTGATACATACAGTAAAGCTTCCATCACCATCCATCCATCCATTCATCCGTACATCTTAAATCATGATGTCCTCTTATTTTCTTTAGTCATACTTTTTATCCCATCATGTCTCACTCATTTTCCCTCTCAGAGTTGACACCCTCCCCACAGCATGATGCTGTCACCACCCTGTTTTCCTATACGGACAATGTGGAGTTTGTCAATGCTCGACAAACCAAACGATTCCGATTTTTCTTCATAAAAAGATATTTATTTTCTCCAATTTTACCTCTTTGCTTACATCTGAAAATTAAAATAAAAAAACACAAAAGGGGAATAGTTGAAGGAAATGAAAATTATTTTACAAGGCTTGGTTTAAAGGATAAATATAAAGCTAGAATGGGGTCAACTCATTCAGCAAATATAAAGCGCTTGAAGTCATCTCTGCTTTCTTTCTAATCTCTCCATCTTAATGAGCGCAGCTCTAAATCCAGCAGTATCCATAAAAACAAAGTTATCCATGAATAACAACCAGAACAAATCAATGCTGCCATGATGCTTCCAACATACAGGCTGCCTTCAGACCCGCAGTTCCAAGGACCCTCAAAGCATTCCCCGAAGAACAACATACCTCCAAGGGCTGCTTCTCTCTGGATCTGCACGTACACTGGAGCAGGGGAAACCCGCCGTCAGTGGGAGCAGATAGTTCACTTCCTTAGATTAACCTTGTGTGCCACTTAGTATCCTCCTAAATCAGGTCAAGAGAAAACTTTGACCTCTGACCATAAATACGTGAAGTAAAGATGGTTCTTCAAGCATTTGGTGGCGTTTCCTTACTAATACGTAGTAGAACCACCTCTAAAGGCTGCGAGAAACCCCAATAAAATGTTCCTGTAGTCCAACAGCTTTGATCTAAACCACATTCACCAAGCATCAGTTCTAACGAACTGGTTCTAAGAAGGATCTATTTACAGCAGCATTTCTGTTTTGACCTCAAACCATTTACTATGATGATGTCGTTGGGAAAGTAATAAGTTGAATTAATAACACACTTTATCTGTTTGTTTTTTTCACATTTATATATATACAAAAAAATTACTCTTTGAGTAAACACTTTTCAGGCAGTCTTCCCCTAAATACTGTGGTTATTAATAATAATAATAATCCATCAATCAGTTTTCTATCTCCAGCTGTCTACGGGCGAGAGGCAGGGTCCACCCTGGACTGAGGAGAATTTAGAGAAGCCAATGTTTTTGGACTGTGGGAGGAAGTAGGAGTACCCGGAGAGAACCCACGCATGCACAGGGAGAACATGCAATCTCCATGCAGAAAGACTCCAGGCTGGGAATCGAACCCAGAACCTTCTTGCTCCAAGGCAGCAAGAAGTGATGTTGGAGATTGGGCTGTTTTTCCAGTGTGGTCCTGTTTCTCTGACTGTGACTGGCTGGATGTGCTCCCTTCATCCTCTGACATGGGAGCTGGCTCAGAGCTCGTCTGCCTGGCTGTGTGTTTCCTGGACGGGGCCTCCTTTTACAGCTGCCTTTTCTATATCTGCTTCTGTCTCCTTGAACCCCAGTGGGCCTCGGCAGATGGCCGCTCACACTGAGCCTGGTTCTGCTGGAGGTTTGTTCCTGTTAAAAGGGAGTTTTTCCTCTCCACTGTCGCTACAAGCATGCTTAGT